CAAAATCTATGCGTACTATACGCCGGATGCGTATTATACGAGCAAAAAACATGATTTTTTCGTAATTATTGAATGCGTACTATACGCCGATGCGTACAATCTCCCGATAATCAGGGTACAATCAATTACTATTTTAGTATAAAAACGATGTAGATTATTATTTACCGTATCAGAATTATCGCTTAATCAATAGTTTTTAATTAATTTAAATGGCACTTTAAATGATGAAAAACTTTTTTATATAATGTATTTAAAAAATATACAGTATTAATGTCAATATTTGAAGTCTCTTTCATAAATTAAAATTCTGTATAATGTCTGTAATGTTAATAACAATTATTTAAATACGGTAAAACTTTATTTTTATGATCCATGGGGACTTGAACCCGGGTCCTCCTGATTACATGTCAGGCATCCTAACAAAAACAAGTATTTTGTTAAAATATACAATAATTTATAAATAAAAATAGAAACACATTTCGAAATTTTTAAAAATGTGTTTAAAAAGTGATTTTATAAATTGTAATTTTTGAGCAAAGTCTTAATATTAGCCAGCATATGTATCAAATATACAAATAATAAACTTAGGTAAAATTATAAATGTTTTAACACAAATAAATAAGTCACTTTAGTTTTTAATAGTTATACTGTATAACTTATACATTTTAACTTTTAAAAAAGTCCCTTATTCTTACTTATAATTATAGTAATAACACCGTTAATATTGAAATATTATTTGATAATAAATGACATTAAATTAATTTGCTTACAAGTTAGCTTATTTTAATAAATAATTTCTAATCTTAACTTTTATTGAAATACATTCATAGATTTAATTTATATTTACCAGTATAAGTTAATGAAAGATTTTCAATAAATTCTAAGTGTCACATTTTAATTAAATATTTGATTATGTTTTATTTGAGTTGAATTCAATGATGAGATATTTTTTAAATACAAAAATATTAATAATAAAGTATTGAAACGATTAATTTTATTTTTATCACTTATTCAATACGCAAACAAACACTTATTTTTCACAAATATTTTTCCATTTTAAATTATTATTAAAATCAGAAAAGTAAACTGTAACTATTGAAACATTAAACAATTTAGTATTTAATTAAAAATAACTTTTATGTAAACATAATAAGAAACAATAGAAAGAAAGTTTAATTACTTTTATTATTTGAACAAATGGTTAAATATAACTCAAATGATATGTCTTTGGATTATCTCTTGTGAAGGCCGACCACAACCATCTTAGCGGCACATAAAGGGGTAATCGTACGGAACTCCAGGGGAACGGCTGTCTGTTTAGACCTCACAAACCGATACCTCCTGACAATGTGAGCCAAACCTAACTTCGCTTCCATTAACGCGAATCGCATTCCAATGCAATTTCGAGGACCGGTACCAAAGGGTAGGTATGTGTAGGGGATTAAGTTATGCCTATTGTCTGGCATAAACCTATCAGGGTCAAACTTATTGGCATTGGGATAGAACTCCTCCGAGTGATGGATACCATACACCGGTATCTCAATGTCTTGTCCGGCATATAGTGTGATACCAGTGTTGCCTAACTTGTAGTCCTTTTGGGCTTTCCTTTCGAGTCGTAAAACCGGTGGATAGA